AAAAAAAAAAAAAAAAAAAAAAAAAAAAAAAACAAGAAAGAAAAGAAGAGAATCGACTGTACATTGGGGACCAACCGCGTATCCACCCTCGTGTTTCGTTCTTTTTTTTTCTTTCTTTTTTTTACGTAGAAAAATGCGTGTCCGCGACTAATGGGCCACTGAAAAAACCTAAGCAGATATAAAAGGAACCGATTATTCCGGACGATTACCGATTTCCGGCCGGTTAACGATTTTTTCGAATCGTTTACACCGCAACCCGCCAGTTCATCTTCGCCAGTCGTTGTCTTTTACTACTGCTTCGTCGTCCAACAGAATTGGCAAGAATTATGTATATATATATATATTACAATAATTCAATAATTTACTGAAGGAATTTATTTCAAGAGTGGTTTAACTTTGATTAACTTTGATTTCAACAAAAGTTCAACAACTTGTTTGTTAGATTATTCGATGCGTCTCGCACGTTACTTTCGCATTATTCGCCAAAGATTTTATTTCACAGAGGATATCTATACGACGTCACACACCTCACGCGAGTAATTGATAAAACTATTTACGGTGTATTTTCTGATTTCACGGTTGGAATTAAGGATAATATATCGCGGAGATGATCGTCGATGTTTGGATTACGGGTTCGATGATGTTCTCTCGTGTACCACATTTTTTTTCCCCTCCCCTCCCCCCGAGTGTAATAAGCGGGTTGTTATCGCGACCATCGAAAGATATCGAGTCCTTTCATCGGCAATTGGAAAGAAAAAACATGAGAGAATTTTATTCGTTGTTACTCGAACGATACATTTAATAATTCAACCGACGCGAGGATGTGTAATTGTTGCTCTAATTATTCCGATAACGGTGCAATTAAGTTTCACGTGTAACATGATTTGTGCCGGCGATGTGATGCACTCTCTCGCCTCGGCACAATGAAGAGAGAATTCTTTCATAGCGGGCAGGAAGACGGGCGAACTGTTTTTCCTTCGAGATCGGCAGGTGAAATCCGCTCGAAAATGCGTCACAATCGAGCAGGATTAACATTTTACACGAACATCTACCATGTCGTGCAAAATAACCATTGCAAGGATCAGGCAATGGTTGCACGGTTGCTACTCTTTCTCTCGTTATTTTCTCGTGTATTTATGTACAACGCCATTATTTAAGTTGAACGTGTATAATATATTGGGTTAAACTGAACTACTATTTGGTTATTCATAATTCTCTATGCACACTCTCTACAATCTTCAACATCTACATTGAAAATTTTAGAATTGGAATTTAAAATGATTGATATATGTTATAGAAATTTTATACCTTGTATTTCTTATAATATACGAGTAAAAAATAATTATTAGACGGATTATTATTCACGTATAAAGACATTTCACATTTATTCTAGATTAATTTCATTATCTTTTTTTTTTTTTTTAAATACTTTCCACTAATTTTCAATATATTTTCTCATTACACATAGTTAATTTTATATTCTACTATCTTTTCTCAATATACTTAAAGATTCTTTCGAAACGAGATTAATGAGTTATGTGACTGATATAAGCAACTCCCTTCAAAGAAGAAATATCATTTTTCGATATGTATTCACACGTGTTGTACTTGGCTCGGCGTAAACATATTAACAACACATGAGAATTGAAATTTATTGGCCTGTTTCATATTTATGACACGCGGTGTATATTTTATCGTATTACGATATCACGTTTCACCATCGTGCGCAAATTATAGAAATGATTCCGTCGTGGTTGCTAT